TTTATGTGGCGGGAATTATAAAATAAAATTACATAGTTAAAAGCAAATTACACTAAAACGAGAATAATAGGTAGATAAAAAAATTATAATGGCTCCATCATTTTCGTTCAGTATTTTCAACTTTTGACAGACATCAACCGTCAAATGTGGAAAAATACAGGCAAAATATAGGAAATATATTTATTTTTCTGAAAAATATGACTTTAAAATGAAAATATTTCATGACCCAACTATTGATACCGACTGACCGGCGACGCGAATTCCAGGACGAGAAACTGGCCACGCTGAACGTCCACGGCGACAAGCTGCTGCAACAGAACCACGTGGAGAGCCAGCGCATCGCGGACGAGCTGGGCGAAATCAACGAGAGGCGCAAGAAGGTACGTCGGGGCCGGCCCCGAACCGCTTCGAGCGGCGGCGGCCTCACAACGGACGGCGCTTGTCCGCAGCTGCACGCGGCGGCGGCGGCGCGGCGCGAGCAGCTGCGGCGCATGCGCGCAAGGGCGCAGTTCGCGCGCGACGCGGCCGAGGCGCGCGGCTGGGTGGCCGACAAGCTGGCCAAGCTGCAGGCCGACAAGCAGGGTGAGCACCGGCCGAGGCCAGCGGCCCCGCGCCCGCCCCCTCTAACGCTGCGCTTCCGCAGGCGAGGTCACCGACCTGGAGGACAAGATCAAGAAGCTGCAGAAGCACCAGGCCTTCACGCTGGAGCTGGCCGCCAACAGCGGCCGCGTGCGCGAGATCGAGCAGCTCGGCGCGCAGCTGGTGCCCGACGAGCACGTGGAGCGGCAGCTCGAGCAGCTGCGGGACGACTGGCGGCAGCTGGAGGAGGCCACGGAGCGGCGAGGTACGAACGCAGCCCCCGCTGCGATTTCTGTGCAGATACCGAACTACGAACGCACACACTACTCTGATACGTATACGTAAAACGTGGGAAAAGGTCGAAGGTGTTCTCCGGCCCCTTTTCCGTTTTTACCGCCGTGATTAGTTAGACAAAAAGTAGACTTATTTAAAACGGTGTATTGCTTTGCTAGGCCGTGGTCTGGAAGAAGCTCAAGATATCCTTGAATTCAACCAGCATTTGGACAAGATCGAAGCTTGGATCAGAGACAAGGAGATGATGGTATGGACGCCTCGTATATTATTTATTATATTACTTCTCCCAAAGGAACCTCCTGGATGGTCTAACACAGTTTAAATAAGCTTAAATCTGAACTCTTGCCGCAACTTTCACCGAATCCCCATGTGGCTGATTTATGGCACATTGCAGAAATTCACCCACTACTAGGCGATTGATCAAGTTAATTGTAGGTGCAAGCGCACGAGCTCGGCCGCGACTACGAACACTGCAGCGCTCTGCTGCGCAAGCTGGACGACCTGGATTCCGACATGAAGGTCGACGACAAACATGTCAAAAGCATCTGCGCACTCGCCGACAAGCTGCTGCAACAGGTACATTGTCACAAGTTTTAAACATTCAAGATACGTGTGCTTGGAAGAGCCCTGAGGGAGGACTGCATACGTACAACACGGACATGCTTGGTAGGATAACGGTAATTTGGACACTGTACCGTCATAATTATCACCAGCCCACCTCAGTCACTAGCTTCAGTCGCCTTGCGCAAATTGTCGCGCCATGTGACGGAGAACGACCGTTATTGTGGTTACTAGCAACACAGCATAGACACTAGCGACACCTCTCGAATAATCCTAGTTCGTATTCCTATTAGAACGTCTATAGCTCATTACCAACTGTATTACCTCCCCGCAGGGTCCAACGCAGCAGGCGGCGACTGTTGCGCAGCGTCGGGACGCGTTCTTGGCCAAATGGAAGGCCCTTAGCGGCGCCTTGCAGAAGTACAGGGACAACCTTTCTGCTGCGCTCGAAGTGCATTCGTTTAACAGGTAATGTACCAACTCGTGCGCTTGTGTACGTTGGAAGACATGAAGCGCCTTCAAAAAGTACATAAATCTTGAATGGATTGCCCCGTTCATTCGTCTCCAGAGACGTGGAGGACACCTTCGAGCGCATCGCGAAGAAGGCGGCGCTGTTCAGCAGCACGGAGCGCGGCCGCGAGTTCAGCGCCGCGCAGGAGCTCAAGAGGAAGCACCTGGCCAGGGTCGCGGAGGCCAGCGCCGTCAAGGAGAAGATACAGCAGCTGGAGGGCGAAGGGCGGGTCTTGGCTCACAAGTGAGTTTCGATTTCTGAGGTGCTCGATCCATTTCTTAAAAGGTGGTAACCGCCGCCTGGGGGAGCTATCGTTAGTGAATAGCCGAAATTGCTGTCAGCCGTGCGACGTAAGATCTTAAGTCTTCCGCATTCGGAGAACACGCACGCTCGGATCCAATGTGTCTAATACGTGTCAATTTGTCTTTGTGCAGGCATCCCGAACGCGCAAAGGAGATCGAGTCCAGCCTACAGTCGCTCCGCGAAGAGTGGGCGAAGCTGCAGCAGCTCGCGGAGGCCAGAACCGCTCTCCTGGATGAAGCCATCAATGAGCATAAATTCGATGAAAACTTGAAGGTGCGGCAAGGCTTACGAAAACTTTAACCGCCGCACTGTTGCGGAATGTTTAGGAACTAATTTCATCTACTATAAGTTACAGCGCCATTGTGACAGACGCAAAGAATAGGGATTGCTACACACATTGAGTTTACTAGTTCTACGTAAAATGTTTGTGTGGCAAATTGTACAGCGCCTCTAGCGGTCACGATTTAACCACAATTTGTTTTCAGAATTAAACATTTATTGTAAGTTGCCACGATTCTTATCGACTATGAACACTGTAAAATGATAGTATGGTCTGTACGTTAGAAAGGTTTTTATTTTTTTCGTGCGTATTCAGGCGCGTAAGAACATTTTTGAAATCATTATAACTCCCCAGGAACTGGAGCTCTGGGTGTCAGAAACTGTGAAGCGTATGAGCAGCACCGAGCCGCCCGAGACCGTCAGCGACGCGCAGGCGCTGCTGGAAGTACACAATGATCGGAAGGTGCGTCTAAGAAAATCCTTGATATTTTTTATGCTGTCATTGTACATAAGAGTTCATGGTTCTATTTAGCTCGTGGTAGGTTTCTAGGTGCAGCACCAGCTCTGGTTAACACTTCCGGCCTATTTTTAATTTCTATCGCAAATATGTATAGATGAAGACGACATTTTTTCATTAAATAGACCAGACTGTTTTAGACTGTTTCTTGGTTTGTTTATCATAAAAAACTTGCTGGGTCGGGACAGGGACACCATTATTTAAAAAAATAAAAAATAAATATGTATTTTTAATTGCCAGGCGGAGATCGACGGCAGACAAAAAGCAATCGCTGCTCTTCAAACCGAGCAGGCCCTCGTTCCTGAGAAGAAGAAGAAAGTGGAACAGCTCTCCTCCACTCTCGACCAGGCTTGGCACGAGAGGAAGCAGTATCTTAGTCAGGTATATATATATTAGCAGAGCCACTATCGTGTTGTTTCAAATAACCAAACGAAACAAATAAAAACTTTGATAACAAATTGGAACTTAATAACCTGGAACTTTTCGATAATCTTAAATCGACTTCACGGTTTTGGAATTTAGGTCGTATATTATTGTTTGAGTGGCGACCATGTCAAAAAAGTTAAGAGTAGTGGCTAGCCATCGAGTTACTATTTAACCGCCTCCGTGGCCGAACGGTTACAATCCTGGACTGCCACGCAAGAGGTCCCGTGTTCGATTTATGTGCTGGGAGAAATATTTATATTGCCTCTCGTGGGTTTGGGTGTAATTTGTGGTTGTCCATGGCACCAGCGATACAGGGTTTCCCGTGTGCGGGGCATATATTAAGATTATCATTTCCTAAGTTTAAAAACTACATTAAAAATATTTTCATAGAAAAGTCATATTACAAAATTGTAGACTACGGGTTAGATACAGATGTATGGAAAGACGGCATGGCTCTAGATTCCACACAAATTTGATTCAAAGTGTATTCCATAGCATTTAAGTTTACTTGAAATGAGCAATCCCTGGAGTTTCTCGCTCATTCTTCTCAAGGAAATCAGCGTAGTGAACGAGCAGTAGCTTAAATGTGACGTTTTCAAGTGTACATTTATTTTACATACGGAATAAATGATTCTTTGTCTTTGATTTAATAGCGAATAACACGTCGATGGTGTATTTTGCTAATTTATCATCATTTATACGTCCCACTGCTAGACACGGGTCGCCTCATTTAACATAAAAAATATTTTAAATTCGGAGACTAAATCGCTGATTAAACTGGGCAAAAATTAAGATATACGTAGTAATTTCCGTGGTAGTTTTAGTAAGGCGATATCGAACGTCGAAAATTTAGAAGAATAACAAAATATATTACCATAACGACCTCTGCTACTTAAAGTATCGTATGTCGAAATTGCCAACTTTCCAGGGGAGCGTTTTAAAGTTCTGAATTCACAGAAATGAGCATAACACGTGACTTTAGCATTTCTCAGTTTTATTCGGCAAAGCTCGTTACTCATATAGAGCATTGTAAAATCCTAGATATCGGTTAGATGATCTATGATGTACTATTTGATGATCACCCTTTCAGTGAATTCAAAACTTTAAAACGCTGCCCTGTAAACTTGGCAATTTGGACTTACGATACTTTACATAGGAGGGGTCGATAATTGCAATATAATCTTAGTGAAGCCACTGGTTTCATGAAAATTAACAAAATTGGAATAGTGAGAGTTGGTGTGCTCAAGGGGATACTGCGAGAGACGTCGCTCAGTGGATGCTCGTAAACTAATGTAGTAATTATTATTTATTTGTCCTTAGGCTCACCAACTGCAACTACTAAAAGAGCAGGCCAGACAGGTCGAGGACTGGCTGGCGGGCAAAGAGGCTTTCCTCAACAACGACGATCTTGGCGACAACCTGGACGGTAAGTTCTGCTTCCCACAAGAAAGAAAGAGAGGAAAGCGACCACTAAGGGAGATGCCACACGAGCGTTGCGACGTCGCAACTGCGTTGTACTACATATAAATCAGAACGATGTGCCACACGGTGCGTTGAAACAACGCGTGTCGACGGTGGCACTCAGTCCGTTGAAATCAACGCTGTTGCATCAACGCAACTCCGACGCAATAGCCGCGTGGCATCTCCCTTAGGCTTGCTTTCACAGACCACATAAATGCTCTTGCTTTCAAGTTTTCAACAATAAAAAGCTGTAAGAAGCCCGTCACAAGATATAACTATTGATAACCAAATCTTAAAATGTGATTTACCATGGTGTTATGTTATTATAACATAGCGAGGGAACACAAAGAGATTGACAGCTGTCAATAATGTCATTCGGCCGTGAGATATTAAACGTGCATTTTGATATCAGTAACTCCAGTGATTTAATTATAGCTACTAATTGTGCAAATACTACACATGGACGTTGTTAATTCCTAACCTGACATGTTTGTGAACCGCAGCCGTGGAAACCCTGATCCGCAAGCACGCCGAGTTCAGCAAGTTGCTGGAATCGCAGCTGGGACGTGTTCAAGAGCTGGAGCAGATGGCCAAGGGCGTGCTGCAAGACCAGCACTACGATGTGCAAAGCACGAGGCGGCGCGTCAATGATATACTTAGCCGGAGGGATAAGTTGCAGGTACAGTGTTTTTTTAGGGTTGCCTATCAGAAGTCCGAAATGACTTTTCCCCGAAATAACGTTAGCTCGAATTTTTATAATCCCGAAAGTAAACCTAAGAAACCTAAGTAACCTAAGAAAGTATTTCGTCACCCAGTTAGGTACCTTTACAGCTATCAGGCCTAGAGATGTTGCTATTAACTGTAATTAAATGTTTATTGAATGTCAGAATGTTTCACCACCATGATACCTAACCTAATCTAAATTTTTCGTTACGTATCCAAAATACCCTGAAAACATAATGTTTCTTTATAAATCGACTTTCAGGACAATAAACTTACGAGCAAAAATAATTTCGGACAAATATAATCTCGGACTTCTGATCGGTTATCGTTTTTTGGGCTACTGTTTATTTTCGGCTACTGGTACAGTATTTTAGGTCACTTGAGATACCTAATTCATGTTAGCATCATACATTTGGAACGGAAATTTGTGTTAAAGATCTGTATAGCCTACTTTGAAAATGCAATTATTTTTTTGGATCTAATCTAATTTTTTTTCTAACAAGTTAGGGCGCGTTCCCGCTATGTCGTCACGTTTTATTATCGTTGGACGACTGTCGCGTCTGGCCTGGAGGTCTACTCTTGATCTCCGTCCGACATCCGTCCGAAACAATTAGACTAAAACTAAAAGACAAGTATCTAGAATGAGGCTTCATTTTAATTTTTATATGGATGGTCTTATCGAGGAGCTCAGCAATACCAAAATCGGTTGCCATGTTGACGGCGTTTGTGTTAATAATATCAGCTACGCAGACGATATGGTGCTGCTGAGCCCCTCGATAGGTGCTTTAAAGCGTCTTCTACAAGTTTGTGAACGTTATGCGGTGGCCCATGGGCTCAAATACAATGTTAGTAAGAGCGAGTTGATGGTTTTCAAGTCAGGTACTAAAACCTATCCTGTGCCGCCGATAACTCTCTTCGATGTTCCGTTGAAAACTGTCACTAAATTTAAGTATTTGGGTCACTGGGTCACTGATAACCTTAGTGATAATGTTGACATAGAGCGGGAGCGGAGGTCGTTGGCTGTCCGATGTAACATGTTGGCCCGCAGGTTCGCGAGGTGTACGAGAGACGTAAAAATATCACTTTTCAAAGCTTTTTGCGTCTCCTTTTACTCGTGCGGCCTGTGGGTGGACTACACTCAGAGGGCATACAACGATCTTCGCGTACAATACAACAACGCGTTCCGGGTGCTGTTGGGGTTGCCGCGATGGTGCAGCGCATCAGGTATGTTTGCCGAGGCGAGGACGGACGGTTTCGCAGCCGTAATGAGAAAAAAGGTGTGCCTCCCTGGAGGCCCGCATGCGCGCCAGCCCCAATCGCATCCTCAGTGTGTTTGCGAACCGCTGGGACAACCCAATGTTGGCTCGATGGACGTCATTGCACGTAAAAATGTAATAGTATGTAATAATGTGAATGTCTTATTTTATTGTACTAACACTTAGCTTTCGTAAGAGTTTTTCAATTTGTTACTAACACTTTTGTATGGACCACCTAAGTCTGAAATAAAATTATTTTATTTTTATTTTTTTATTTATTTTATTCGCATCACGCGTCTTTTCATTTGGTCAAGTATTGCTTATTTGGCAGTAATTGTTTCGGACGGATGTCGGACGGAGATCGAGTGTAGACCCCCTGTTCCCATATCACGGCTATCTGTCGTGGACGATTTTTTATCGTTGAACGACTGTCGTGACTAGCTGTTCCCACTAGATCGTGACGACAATAGGAGCTGCGACAATCTGTCGTCACGTTTTTATCGTGACATTTTTTTATCGTCTGACGACTGTCGTTCTAGCTGTTCCCACTGTGACGACAGTTTGTCGTTGTAACGATAAAAAATCGTGAACGATAGTTAATCGTGTCGTGCTAATGTGAACAACTTCATTTAAATATACAAGCCACGACACTGTAAACTGCACGACAATCTGACGTCACGACATAGTGGGAACGCGCCCATAATGTGGGCTTTTTACAGGTCCCATGGTCACCGCTGACTGAGATGGGTTTAGTCATCAATCAGATTTTTATTTTGCAAAAAAAAAACATATTCAACTTTATGTTGGGTCACTCGCAAGTTTAAACTGATTTTAACTTACCCATTAGTTTACGTAACTCCAATGTGATTACCCGAAATGTTTATATTCAGGAGTCCTGCAAGCAACGCGGGGAAATGCTTCAGCAATCCAAACAACTGCATCAATTCTTACGGGACCTGAACCACGAGAGAGAGTGGATCGCGCTCAAGATGCAGGTTGCGACTGATCAGAACTATCGGTAAACAACGACGTCGGCAGCTTGTTACGGGCCACTTTTATGATTTTGAGGGTCTCTTGCATCGTGTTAAGGGGCGATTTTTAAAATAACGGTTACAGAATCTGTAATAATGAAGACATGACAGTTAATCGATTAACAAGAAGTTGAAGTAGTTTCGGAAACAAACTTTTCTATATTATGTCCGGCTCTGAGTGTTCTAGGTAATGTTTCTGGTGTCATAACTGTTTCTTATAGTACAGACAACAAATATAAATAAATACAAAAATAATAAATTGACTGTGTGTGTCAGAGGTTGACGACCTCAGTGGCCTACCGGTTGCACTATGGGCGCTGAATGAAGACGCCTTGGATTCAATTCCCGGCAGGAATCAATTTGTAAATTCGACTTTTTCTTTTCTGGTTTATGAGCACCACCACAGGGTATGCTCTAGTTTGAGACCAGGTAATTGGCGTGGTTGTGTAGCACGTAGAAGTTCTACACCAGAACTGGTTGCAAAAAGCTCCCGCAGTCGATCCCAGGAACTTCGTGTTATGCTCAAAAAACTTAACATTGAAGTACATCTAAATCGATGTACAGTCGACGCCTTAACATACCTGACCTCGTATCAGCCAAGTCAATGCAAGATGCTTTAAAGCGTCCACGACGGTCATAGGGTTAATATTTTTCTGATGAACGCGCAAGATGGCTCTCGGAACCAAAAGGTCGGCAAGGGGTCACGAATCTTAGAGTATCGACTGTACCAATTCTTATATTGTTTACAGAGAGCTATCAAACTTACAAAGCAAAATTCAGAAGCACGCCGCGTTCGAATCCGAGCTGGCAGCCAATAAGGGACGCATCGATGACGTCGCTAATCACGGCGAAGAGCTTATAGGTAAGAATTAGATAATAGTCGGTTCGAGCCGCCATCTCAATAAAACTGATTTATTGAATCATTTACCAATCATCTCGACCCTACCTACGCAAAGTATCGTATGTCGAAATTGTCAAGTTTACAGGTGCGCTTTTTAAAGTTTTGAATGCATTGAAATGTGCATAACACGTGACTTTAGCATTTCTCAGTTTTATTTGGCAAAGCTAGTTACTCACATTGAGTATTATGAAATCCTAGATGTCGATTAGATGAACAACCACAATTTATTTTATAATTTTATATTAACGCGGATGTGCGTCAACAAGCGGGTGAACTAAAGTTAATTAAGAGGGAGCATGCAAAAAAAGTTTTGACGTTGGCTCCGCCCACATTTGTGAGACAGATATATGCCTGAAGTTCGCGTGACATGCGACAGGAGGTGTTGAATTTTGCACATTAAAAGTACCAAATTCGTTTTAGCGGAATAACTCTAAAACTAAAGGGATTAAAAAAAAATCCGTAGTGACAGTTCTCGATCCTGCATAAATATAATTAATTATCTAATTTTTGTCCTAATAACCTGTAGCATTTCTAGGATGATTCGAACAAATGTGAAAATTAGAGGTCATTTCGTGATTTTTATCTATCGAGGAAACTTTATTGTTTTATGTTTCTGATTAATGTCTATGCTTGAATATATCGTGTAGTTACTCGTACAATATTTTATTTTTAACTTTAAAGTGGATATACCCCTATAAAATCAAATCGAAGATTAGGAATTTTTCCTCTGCTCCCTCTTAAGTGTAGTGAAGTGGACGGGTCGAGTGACAGTATAAAATTATAAAATAAATTGTTGTTGTTCATCTAACCGATATCTAGGCTTTGATAATACTCTATGTGAGTAACGAGCTTTGTCGAATAAAACTCAGAAATGCTAAAGTCATGTACTATGCTCATTTCAATGAATTCAAAACTTTAAAACGCTCCCCTGTAAACTTGGCAATTTCGACATACGATACTTTACGTGGGAGGGGTCGATCTATCACTTACATAACTTTTAACTAAGATGCACTTATTAAAATTCCTAATAACAAAGTACCTTTTCTAGTTCTTTACCAACCTCATTCAAACATTTGATGGAAAACGAATACATAAATTTCTCTTTTACATAATGGCATTGCCTTGCCGTCCCTGCTTTTTAATTCCCGCCACTTATTCTTAAGCTGGGACTTTTTAAAAGCAATGTCATTGGCTAGTCGAACCGGCAATGAAACTGTTCGGACCAATCACAATCGATTCCGACGCGCCATCTTCATAATGACGTTTTGGAAACCTAATAGGTATATTGATAAGTACAGAACTTTTAAATACATATTTACAATAAGCTTATAAACCCTTTACAATGTTGTACTAAATAATTAATAAAAATAATTTTGGAATTAAATAATCATCAATAAAGGGTTCGAAACGTCGGTTTGTTTGAAAAAACTAATATACGCGATTTAAATCCGGAAAAATATTTTCATTTCCTTTGTGGCACAATCGCGAAAACCTAAGAACTCGAAAATAATTTTGCTATTTAACACAACACGTCATATATTTCTTCTACATGAGGCACGTATTAGAACCTGTACGTCTGCGTTCCAATTTCATTTGAGGGAGGCCTATGTTCAGCAGTGGACTTGTTTCGGCTGAAATGATATGATGACCTCCATATCCACGATCCCCCTCTATTACCAACATTATAATTTAAAATTTTCCTGCAATAAAGATCATAGTTTGTGCGCCTGACGTTTCTTAAACAGCAAACGAACATAAGGCAACTTTAGCTTAATTTTGTTCCCGCAACTAGCTTGTTATACTCGTTACACGGTGTTTTCTTTATTTATTTACACTTCCTGAAATTCCCAAAAAAATAATAATAACGCACACAGTTGGGGCTATGAGCACAAGGAAAACCCTGTATCGCTGGTGCCATGGACACATATATAAACAACCACAAATCACACCCGAACTCGCGAGATAAATAAATGTAATCCTTACATATATTTCTCCCAGCCCGGGTATCGACCCTGGGACCTCTGAGTGGCAGTGAATATGAATGGTAATCTGGTAATGCAACGCCTGAATCTATTCTTTTATGGTTCTGTTTCAGAGAAAAATCACTATGCATCAAGGGAAATTGCGACTCACGTCGAGGAATTAGAAAATCAGTGGAGAGAACTACAGGTCAGTTTTCTCTTTGGGGACAGTAAGGTCGAGGATGAAATTACCTTACCTAGGACATGCGGGTCTATCTAGCTAGTACAAATGTCCCGGTTATATATACACTCGTAACCATAGCTGGAGGTAGGAAATATCCTTCAACAAGGGAAAGGAATACCTTTCCCTTGTTGAGAGCTTGATGAAGAACAATGCGAAACTCTTCGTTCCTAGCATTTTTATGAATAATTTGTACAGGCGGCAGCGAAGCTCCGTCGCGAGCGTCTACAAGAAGCGTACCAAGCGAGGGTATACTTGCGTGGTCTGGACGATTTCACTGCGTGGCTGGATGAGGTGGAGACGCAACTCCTCAGCGAAGATCATGGTGAGTTGGGGGCTTGGAAACTTCATGTCTTTTTTTATCTAAATTTAAGGAGCTTTACCGTGTAGGTGGATGGTAATGTCACTCTGTAATACTATTTAATTTATATTGGGTGTCCAAAAATTCACGCAAGAAGTAATTTTGATTGAAAACACAGGTTTATAATTAAAAATTGTAACTTTTTTATTGATCCATTAAGTACATGATATAGGGTTATGTGTGATAAATCATGTTGGGTAAATGGCCTCCACGGCTTTTCTGGCACAGTCGCACTCATTTTATGAAAATTTCGGTGACCATTTTGCATAATTGTGGTTGACTCTCGTTGATACATCGCTCATGTGTATGTGTATGTATTTGCTTAGTTGTGATTTTAGTGTAAGCAGTTGTTGAAGTAATAAAAAAAAGTGTAGCCATCGCGACAACCTAAGTACCCGGTAACATTACATATTTTACACTTTGATTATTTATTATTATTACATTGATTGAAATGTTTTTTTTTTGTCAGGCAAAGACTTAACTTCAGTATCGGCTCTTCTCAAACGACACTCTAGACTAGAGCAGCAAGTATCCAGCAAGGCTGACACTGCAACACAGCTTGCCGACACGGCGACACAGCTGGCTGAGGATGGCCACTTCATGGCCGAAGAGATTCTAGAAAAGGCCAACCATGCTGTTAAGAGGTGAGCGAGGTCATTGCAATAATGTACTACATGCTTAAATTTCACATAATGACATACTGTTCGGTAATTTTCCGAAAAATTTCAAATGGGGATATTTTTCCGGAAAAATTACAGAAAAATTTGAAAATATAATTTGGAAGGCTGATATTATGTTCTACGTTTAGAATAATCTTTTGAAGTTTTGTTTAGTGTGAATTATAAAATAAACTTGTCTAACTCAAAGTCACATACAGGAAAACGAGATTCAAAATGATTTCACAACAGCGAAAATAAACCTCCGAAACGTGTGGTACCATCACCACCACTTGTTGTTGGTTCTATCGTTTTTGTTCAGTAACTTCAACTTTTGACAGGTGTCAACGTCAAATGTGGAAAATTAAACGAATAATATCGGAAAATATCCGAAAGTAAAATAAGAATTTTTCGATGACCCTACACATAATTTGTTTCATGTATTTCATATTATTTTTATGGCTTTTACGCATTGACTTACAAATAAATGGACGACGGGTCTAATACAAAAACCACGAAAAAAATGTCCCAAGTCAACCTATTCCAAATTTAAATTGTAATGTCATCGCAGTATCGCGCTGTCAGTAGAACAAATGAAGACTAAAGCGGAGTTTGGCGTATACAGAGCTGTATACGATTTTAGCGCCTTACAAGCGGACACTTTTTAGCGCGGACCCGACGTCCATATAATTGTAAGTCAATGCTTTTACGTGATAAAAGTACTATTGACATGTGGTTTCATTATACCATTTGCACGATGTATTGTTCTGTTCCACGATTTATAAATAAATTGGTTATTAGTCCAGCATTTTCAAGTTCCGTCACTCCATCACGCATAGCAAGGAACATCGAGAGTGATTTTTTCTAAATATCCTCATTGTCTGCAGATACCGCCAGTTGCAAGAGCCGATGCAAATACGTCGCGACAATTTGGAAGACGCGGCTCTGCTACACCGCTGGGAGAGGGACGCCGATGAGGAGATCAGATGGTGCGTACTGTCTCCTTCATCGTCATCTTCAAGTCATTTATGGGTTTTTAGGCTATAGTCTGCGGGTTGGGGACTTCACAACGTTTTTCGAGGGTGGTGAATCTTTTTTGACGTGCAGATTTCATTTTCATTCATTGAAAAGCTCATGGTAAAGTTCAAATTAAATTTTGCACATAAATTCCGAAAATATCAGAGGCGCGAACCCGGATTTGAATCCACGGCCTCTGCCATTAGATATTACGGCTGTGTCCTTAATATATTTTTTAAATTCAATTATTGTTTATTACATCAAGTGACAGGACGAACAAGTCGTGCGCCTGATGGTAAGCTACACCCCTGTCCATAACAGTTGCAGTGCCACTAAGATCTTTAAATTGCGAAGATCTAATTGGCACTACCACTGCGTCCGTCAACCTGAGACATAAGTTGGCAAGTCCCATTCTGTTATAATTATTAATACAAAGATCGAACACTCAGAAAAAATTCCTTCGATCCGGTCGGATTCGAACCGACGTCTTCTTGCATACCGTGCCAGACGCTATACCAACTAAGCCACGGAACGAACCAACGGACCTCACGAATTCTTCTATGTGCTTGCGTCGTGTCTTTGTACTTGGTCTTTCAACGACTTTTTAGTCGTAGCGCCATCTATGAGAAATCTATTACAGATTTAGGTACTTTAGGATTTAGGTACCCGCTTTCCAACAAAAAGAATCATCAAAATTGGTTTACAAATGCCGGAGTAATCGCGTAATATACATGTAAAGGAAAATGCAGTTGAATTTAGAACCTCCTCCCTTTTTGAAGTCTGTTAAAAATGGAGGGTTAAGCAAGTTAACTTTACCTAAGTTCAAGCAAGAAATTAAATTAAACTTTGAGTTTATTTCGTAATTTGTTGCCTAAATTTAGACATAGTTCGTGGATAAGTGTGGTGGTTCCCTAAAACAGCACAAAAATAAATTAGAAATTATAATAATTAACAACTGCCTCCGTGGCCGAACGGTTACCATGCCGGACTGCCACGCAGACGACCTAGGTTCGATTCCCGGACCGGCAGAAATATTTGTATGGCTTACATTTGTTTCTCTCGTGAGTTTGGGTGTAATTTGTGTTGTCTATGTGTATGTCCATGGCACCCGCGTCACAGGGTTTCCCTAGTTCGGGGCTATGTTGAGTGTGTGCGTTATTATTATTATTATTATTATTAACCGAGACATAATATTCTGTGTGTTAATAAATTAACCTATTTACTATATTATAAAAATGACAAAAAATACTACTTATTGTTCATATTTAGAAGTAATATTTTTCGTCGCGACACAAACAGACTTTGAAAAACGTGTAAAGTCGCCTACCCGCGTTTCGAGAATGCACAGTAGAGAATTTCATTAGTTTTTATTTTGACTTAAGTTTTTGTGTGCGTGTTTTACGAATATGTAATTATTTATTTGCAACAGCGAGTGTGTATGCGCATACACCTTACACAGCGTATTGAGAGCTTGCTTTTCTGTTACACACTAATTAATGCAAAGGTCGAACACTTAGAAAAAAATTACTGATTTTTCTACGTGTTTGTTGCAGATCTTTGTTTTTGGTTTTTAACGAGTTATTTGCCCGCGCAGGATGCGTGAACGCGAAGGAGCCGTGCGAGTGGAAGACGCCGGCAACACTCTGCCCGAGGCGCAAGCGCTCCTGAAGAAACATCTCGCTCTGGAGGCCGAGCTCCTGTCCAGGTGCGCCGCTGTGCCGTAATTCGCAAGGCATCTTGAAAGATGCCGGTTGCGGGTCTGCCACGCGTGACCGACGAACCGTCCGCAGGGAGCCGGCGGTGAAGGCGCTGGTGGGCCGCGCGGCGCAGCTGGCGCGCCGCGGCCACTTCGCGGCGGGCCCGCTGGAGGCGCGCGCGCGCGACCTGGGCGCCGGCCTGCGCGCGCTGCTGGACGCCGCGCGCCTGCGCCAGCGGCGATTGCGCGAACGCGGCGAGCTGCTGCAGGTGCGCCGAAGCCGAAGCCCGCCCGAGCCGCGCCCCGCCTTACCCCGCCTTACCCCCCCTGCCCCTCCCCAGCTGCTGGCGGAGATGGCCGAGGCCGAGGCGTGGGTCTCCGAGCGGCGGGTGCTGCTGGTCTCCTCGGACGTCGGCCGCGACGAGGCCAGCGCGCTCTCCCTGGCCAAGAGGCTGGACGCGCTGCAGAGGGAGCTGCAGGGCTTCGACGCCGACCTGGGCAAGCTGGAGAAGTCTGCTGCGGCTTTGATGGTAAGGCCGACTGTTGGCCCTGCACGATTCGATCGCCGAGCGGATTTTTATTTCGAGGTAGCAAAATCACGTCGAGTGAGCGGCTAGTTATCTTCTCCGTCCCGCTCGGTGGCCTGCTGACGTTTGTTAAACCGTTTTAATCATTTGTAGACATGAATTGAAAAACTCAAAGAGTGTAACAACTTATCAACGACAATTTACAATCTACCTATGTGAGAATCAAGACAACAAACCTATTTTATACAATAGACTTCTCTGAGCAACTTTGCTCATGATGAAGTTTCCCAAAAATCCGCTAGATGGCATCCACCCACTTTATCTAAATTCTTCATTGCTGTGCTACAATTTTCTCCCAAACAATGACAACAGTATAAATATTGTCAAAAAGCTCCACTGTTGATATGTATATTCATTTTAGGAACGCCCTACGATAGACAACGAACACGTCAAAGGCAAAATGCACGACCTAAAGAACCTCTATGAAGAAATGAAACTGTTGTCAGCGCAGCGACAGCAGCGTTTGCAGCAGAGCCTGAAGTATTTCAAGTGAGTTAACGATTGTTTAATTAAAATTGTATGTAAAATTACAACAATTAGACATATTTAATGTGATGGTTTTTCCTGGCATATTCAGTGTATTACTTTGTATTTTATTATTGCCTCCAAAGTTACTTTTTTCACTTTATAATATAACACAGTATAAAAAAAATAATTATTTTATAAAGTTTTAGTGTGCGTGGCTGTTGACACAGGCGTCATTGCCTCGGTCTTAAACGACGATTTTATTTTATGCACTAGAGCATAAAATTGTCATCTTTCGGGAATTTTAGAGGTTTTAATCAAAATTTCTGTCTGCCTATAAAACGCAACTCTAAGAGCGGTTACACACGGCGATTTTTAGCGGTGATGCAGTAGCGATGCAGTCGCTAATCGTCTACCTTAACACACGCGCGCGATTTTAAGCGCGCGACTTCGTCGATGCAATTACCCATATACCAGGCGTAATTTTAGGGTTAACAAAATACTTGACATACCTGTAGTCTCAACCAATTGCAGAAAGAACTCGTTTCTGCTGCGAGCTTGCAACAATATCAATAACCTGGTCAATAGTGTAGATATTGATGTCTTTTACACTACAGTTGCCACAGCGAGACGGTTACTCAGCGACTTTTTGTTTAAGTTTTAAGAATTTAATTTAATTCTAAATTAAATTTAAATTTAATTCCAAATTTCCAAAGAAAGTATTTCTTTTCTCTTCTTGAATTTGTATTGTAAAATTCTCATAATATCTTCGATAGCTGTTTTTTCTCTCCAGAGTGCTTGCATGTTTATGTTATATTATATCTAAAAGTGTAAACTAAGTTAAAAATAAATAAAATAAAAAATAAATTCCAAGTGTAGCGATGCAATCGCGCGTTTCACGAGCACGCGTTTGGATCGCTGCTAAAAGTCGCGTGTGTAACCACTCTAGGCGTCGTTTGACAACATCTTCGTCGTCAAAGACGTGTTCGTTCAAAGAATTTTGTAAAGACTGAAATGAAAATGTGAAGGCTATCATCGATCGAATACGCTGGATGAGGTAACACTTCCCAAACTAACTTGATTCGTTTTTTACTTTTTAAACTCGTGTTGACATTGATAATGTAAAGGTACAATTCACCAGGTCTGGGCGTTTCTTGTGAATTGTAATTTTAAAACTTTCCAACCTATTCTGAAATGTGCGCTGAAATATTAATTTTAAAATGACCATAAACTATATAACATTTTAAAAGTTCTTTTAAACGGACTTTTTGCTGTTTTATTAAAATCACGGTACGTGGATTGAGAGCTGCAGTCATTAAAAAATAGATTACCTGATTGAAAGTAGTATATTATAAAGTTTAAAACATCGTCATGTATTACATTTTCCATTTGTCCACATATTTTTTGTCATACTACACGAAATCGGTCCCGCTATAAAGGGATATAGTTCTAATACTCACAAAAAAAAACAATCTCTTTCTTTCCCAAGGTTCGTGCAAGAATGCGAAGAAGTCCAGGAATGGATCGGCGAGCAGATGTCTGCGGCTGCCAGCGAGGAGTACGGCTTGGACGTGGAACATGTCGAGACATTGCAGCAGGCCTTTGAGAATTTCTTAGCTCAGTTGCACGGTGAGTTAAAAAAAAACACGCAATAACATCTTTATTTTTGAAATCGTCACCTTGAGTAAATTCTACTACTCATTCGTAAGGTAGATTCCCCTGAGAAGAATGGGGAAGAAATTCTAGGGGTTGCCCTTTGTAAATATACATGTGATTACATTTATAATTTCCTATATTTAATTTGTTTCAAATATCTTAGATAGAAACACCTTGCGAGTGTGACACGTTAAACGAAGTTGTTGTTACTCCTATACGCCGCTAGATGTCGCTTCATGTCTAAAAACGAGTTAAATGAACGCAGCAATCGGTATCGAACGAATAAGATAAATGAATCCTATAAAAAAAATCGAAGCCAGCAACATGCCAATATTATGATTTAGATTCAGTGGAAACTAAAATTAAGTGCGCGGAATTCAGCTCATGCCGAATCAACAGCCGAACGTCCACCAGTTTTTTTTCTCTATTGTCGCTCGGGAACCTTTTTCACCCCGTATTTGAGGTTCCAACCAAAGGATCACTTGTATATTGTACTCTAATGAAATGGACTTGATTCTTCCAGCCAACGAAGGTCGAATCGAAGCAGTGTGCGAGGCTGGCAACACGTTGCTCGAGGAAAACACCCCAGAGGCGAAACGCGTCCAGCAGAGGATCGAAGACATCAGAGGACTGTGGGATGACCTGAAGGAGCTGGCATTGGCTAGAAACGACGTGAGTCATAGAGTTAACCCAGTAAATGTGTATTATCTCTAGCCTTGAATAGCCCCAAGTTATAGCGTTTAGGAAACAGATTTTTTTGATACCAACTTGACGGGACTATAAGCGACGCGCCTGTCCATAACAGTTCCAGTGCCGTGAGAGCTTTAAATCGCAAAGATTTAGATTGAGGGGCACTGCCACTGCGCCCGTCACCGTCAGACATAAATTGACAAGTCCTATGTGCCTGTAATTTCACCAGTACCTTTACCCTTCGAAACTGGAACACAATAATGTGAGCTTTTCTGCTTGGTAGCAGAAATAGGTAAGATGGCGGTATTTACCTGTACGAACTCTTTCATAACGAACTCTACTGCTACACAGATGCCGACTGTGATAGATTCAAAGCGTCCAGCAGCAGCAGGAGTGACATACAAGTTATTTTCGTTACTAGGGCAACACGTCACACTCCCCAGGGAGGAAATCCCGGATGCTACCGATTATTAATCTAGAACATGTTAAATAAGTGTTGTAGCAATCTCCTAATTTGTCTCGGTCGTTCGTCGTTTACGTCGATTGAGTTGTGTCCCTAGCAGTCTAGACTCCGTCCCGCAATTTTAAAGGGAACAATTGCTGTACTCGCCTGACTTGCGTTCCTGCTGTTGCTGGAGCCATATTCTCAAAGCACGAAAGTCGTAGTTACAGTAGTTCGAGAATAGTCCCGTAGGTCATCGATAGTGGGAAAACGGCCGTAACTACGGACTCCGTGCTTCTAGAGTAGGAACCCTGGACGCTTTGGACTATTATGTTGCCATTTCGTATAGATGTTGGCCAAAGTAGATAGTTCATTTAGGGTGTAAGATACCGATAGCATTGTGGTATATGACAATTGGAAATATCTTGGGACGTATCAGAATTTATTGATCATATAAAAAAAAATATTTTAATTACCAGGCTCTAGCCGGCGCCCGTCAAGTCCACGAGTTCGATCGCTCAGTGGACGAGACAGCAGCCTGGGTGGCTGAGAAGGAATCTGCCCTTGCGACGGAGACTTCGCCCCCGCGGTCGCTGCACGAGTTGCATGCCAGCAGACGGAGGCTGGATGCATTGCAGGCAGACGTGGAAGCCATTCGAGCACAGCATGCCAAATTGCAGCAAGAAGCTGAGAAGTAAGCCACCAACTTAGAATACCAATCCATCCCTATCCTGTTACACACAAAACCATTTAGCATCAGCACATAATAACAGACCAAAAACGTACTTTATCTGTAATGGACGACCAACATACTGGGCCAATCGAAGCAAGTGTTTGATGACGCCTATGAATCGCATTATTAAATCACGCGCTCTGATCGGCCGAGACAATAAAGCCATCAGATTCTTGGTTCTTCGAGGCGGATAGTAGACGAAACCGCACGACCCTCACACAAACACCCATATCCGAAGAAATCGTCCAATCTAATTAGATTGAGGAACACAAGCACCCATACACAGACTAATGACGCGCCGAGACGCTGTATTGGGTCGTTGTTAATACATATTTCATAGTTTGCATTAGGTTTGGATATAAAACAGTCCCGGATATTTTTCTCTGGGACCACATAAAAATTCCGAAACCCCTGAGAACCAAACTGCTCTGATAGCCCAAGGTTTATAATCTCAAGAAGTGGGCAGGTTACGCAGTAAAAGGGGGGCTCGAAGGGAGACTTGGTAGTACGAAACGCTCAAGGTCGTATAAGACAAAAGGTAGAAGAAAAGAGGTTGAAAGAGAAATGAACAATTCAACTGACCAACCCTTTTTGTCCACAGACTCGGCACAGCGTTCCCCGACGCAAAAGAGCACGTTTCGTCGAAACTAGAAGACGTCACCGAGGCGCTAGAAGATCTGTCCGCGCGAGCCGAGCAGTGCGTCGCGCAGCTCGAGCTGGCAGGACAGCTGCAGCACCTTTTCGGCACTTATCAGGAGTTACTGTGAGTTTTCGCTTGTATCCTTTGATTGTTTTTTTTTGTTGCTTGTAAGTTGTCTAGCATGTGTTTATCCATTTTTGCCATGAATGAAAAATTGATCTAGGTGTGCTATCTTGACTCGCTTGAGGTAATGCTTTTTAATACTTCTTTTATAAAGTGCGTGTCCAAAAACCATTGTCGATGTATTTCAGAGGTTTTCTCTCCGTGAACTAGCCACCGGAAAGATCTGGCAACAAGCTTATAGAAAAATTCGTAAGGTCCGCTGGTTGGATCCTTGGCTTAGTTGGCATAGCGTCTGGCACGGATTGCTAGAAGACGTCGGTTCGAATCCGGCCGGATCGAAGGAGTTTTTTCTAAGTGAAGTAATTTCACTGACATCCGATAAACTGAACAATAGCCAGTGGAAGATGAATTTGTGTGAATGTGGAGTATCAAGGGCCGCTTTGACGCTCCGCAGGGCCTGGACCAACGAGACGCTGGCGCGCGTGACGGCGCCCGAGCTGGCCGCGGACGTGTCGGGCGCCGAGCGGCTGCTGGCGCGCCACCGCGACGTCGGCGTCGAGATCCACGCCAAGGACGACGCCTTCAAGGCGCTCTACGCCGACGGTGCGTGCCGGCCTCTCTCGGCCCGACGGGCCTCGGGCGAGCGAGGTTCTATTCCGCTGTCGCTTGCAGGCGAGAAGCTGGTCAAGGAGGGCCACTTCATGGCGGGCGAGATCGAGGAGCGGATGTCGACGCTGCGCGCGAGGAGGCAGCAGCTCGACGCGGCCTACAACAACAGGGCCAGTATATACGAGCGGCACCTGGACGCTCTCATCTTCAAGAGAGACGCCGACGCCTTGGACAACTGGATCGCCACAAGGTGGGGACTCCGTCGCCGATTACTTTTTAAATCCTCTGCAATCCCCCCATCCTCATCATCGACGTCCCACCGCTGAGCACGGGTCTTCTCTAAAGAAAATTTAAGTTCTAATTCACCACGCTGGTCAATGCCGATCAGGATATGACAAATTTTCCAAGGGTTGTGAACCTTCTTTGACGTGCGGGATTCATTACGTTTTCTCTGATCATCGACCACTCTCAGCCGCCCTTCCACTGGGCTGCCACCGCTCAAAGATTCCACTCATGCCCGCAAAATATGACGTATTTGTATAGAGGTAATATACCAACTTGTTTTCGCCTGAAAGCATTGGATCCTGCCGTGGCTTTAGGCTTTGTTTGACTTTTGGCATCAATATTTATTAATGTACCAAACAACCACACCAATTACCTGTTTACAAACTAGGGAACTCTGAAATTTCTATTAATGCATTTAAAATTTCACCATAGGCACATTACGTCTCCCTCTCAATTTAGAATAGAATAGACATTTATTGCAACGCCACAACACATAGATACAAACAAAAAAATTATAACACAAAATAACACAAGGAAAAGAAATAAACAAAATAAAAAATACAATAAAAACAAAAGAACATTAAATAAGACAAATCTGCCATTCTATTCTATTTAATATTTCTTATATTAAATTCTTCATTCAGCATAAGCCACAGCCATAATTAACTGTGGCGCTGGTTTTCAATGAGCCCTAAGCCGAGATGAGTGCCCTTCAGTCTCAAAGGTCGTCTGGAAGAGAACGCTTTCAGACACTTTCAGTGATAAGGCCGCCGTTGCCCACATTAATTCTAAGTTGTTTAAGTACCGTATTTGTTTTTTGGGTGTGAGCAATAACGTGTATTTTTATCTATCTCTCTATACCCGGAACACCCATTCCAGAATCATTCTAGAAAGTTCACTCCCCAAATTTAATTTAAAAAAGCCACCGGAACCTATACATCTAATTCATAACAAATTAACTTGTGTATCATTCAGAATGCCACTCGTTCGCGATGGCAAATACGGCGAGAGTGTGGCGCAAGTTGAGGAACTGATCAACCGACACAAAGATCTGGAGGAGACCATTGAGTCGCAGAAAGATAAGTTCAGCGGTCTCAAGAGGATAACACTGGTGAGTTACGTTTCGCATTTCAGTTTCGGGTATTAATATCTTTATAGACACAGAGACACAAACGGATAAAACTTATTTTTTATTTTTATAACATCAAGTGACGGGACCAACAACTCGTGCGCCTGATGGTAAGCTACACGCCTGTCCATAACAGTTACAGTGCCACTCAGAGCTTTAAATTGCAAAGATCTGAGGGGCACTACCACTGCGCCCGTCACCCTGAGACATAAGTTGACAAGTCCCATGTGCCTGTAAT